TGTGTGAAGATTTGTACAACCATTAATAAAATCCTTTCCGAATGAGAATCAAGGAAAGAAGCAGAAATTCCGGTACCTACAATACTTCTGGGCAGAATAGTACTTATTCTGCAATGTACTAAAATTCACTGCTATTAAACTTTTTCTCCTTTTTGAATTTTTGAATTTTTTCATAATGTTTGTTTTTGTAAATAAGGTGCTTTTTGCAAGTTTTTTTGAGAAGTTATCGAATATAATAAGATTAATTTGATATTTAAACTAGAAATTTCGGCATCAGGACTTGAAAGCAGCTTTTGAAATTGTAAACTAATGAAAAAAACATGCATTCTTTGTATAAATATTCCATGAAAATTTTCGTTGTTTGGTCCTTTAAATCGATTCTTTGAAAAAAAACAAATAATAAACTTTCATAGAAAAAATTGTTATAAAAAAATAAAAATTGTTATTACGACTGCGTCTTTTTTATGAAGTTTTCAATATTTTCGTTTATAGCAAATACTTTAATGTATTGTAAAACAGCGTTAAAATTATAGTATTCAATACTTGGAAATTATAATGCAGTTATTTAAATGCATGTAAACATTAAATATTTATTACATGTACTTGAAAAATATTTAAACACCTTTGCTTTCCACAGACTTTATTTTCGTGAGTAATAACTAAAAGTTCTCTTAAGCATGTTATAATTTAATGAGTGGCTGATTTTATTTAAAGTTTGTACAGAAATATATTGTTTAAATATCACTAAAATATTTTTCCTAGACATTTTTAATTACTAAAAACTGTTCTAACTGTCTATTAACTTAAATGAACTTCAATTTTCAATTAAATTTCTTATTATTCCTTTGTCCTATCAGTATCAATCATTTCAAAATCACAGTTTTTTACCTTTTTCAGTTCTTGTGTTAAACTTCAAATGTAATTTTATTACATTCCTCTCTCTTTAAAAATGATGCAGAAATATAATGACTTCAAATAATAAATGGTTGGAAGGGAAAATGTTTTTCCACTGCTTCTTCAATTATGATTAAGGAAAAATTTATTTATTTCCAAAACAAAAACTTAATACGAAGCTTCAAGGTAGGTTTGAAACTTTGCACATTTATACTTCACTTTATTCATGTTTAGCATTATAATTTAAGATCAATTTTATTTATACAAGTTTAAAAAATAGCTTCTTTTCCTGGTGAAAATTTTCAAGGCATTAGTCGGTTTCTATTTTTACATGCATTAAATTCCCTACTGTCGCTTTTTCATATTTTAAGTGAATTGATAATAATCCTGGAACAGTGGCGTAACTTTAAACTGAATTTCTTGCACCCGTGATGGAGAAGAAACATTTTACATGCATATGACCCATAAATCATTTTACAAATCTGTTTTCAAGTGTCTTACAAATAAAATTTTTAAAAGGAATATTGATTTTAAACGATTATAGAAACTTGTTAGTAAATATTTTAGTACATTCTTCAGGCAAATTGTAAGTAGAAGAGGAAGCAAATAGGAGTTCAATTAAAGGCCTTTACTGTACGAAATACTTGAATCCAACATCCTATCAAAATAAATATATATTTCTGTTAAACATATGCACTTTTCTTCGTAAAAGCAAAATACAAGGTCGAATGTCTAACTTAAATTGGATAATTTCCAAACATTCGCTTTTACACTTAACCTATACGTCTTTAAATTTGCTTCGATACCAGTCTCAAAGGAAAACATTAACCAAATATTAACTCACATTTAGATTGAAATTATAAAAGAGTATGATAAAAAACAGCAATATATAATATTTGCAACATTTTAAAACATTTTTAACAAGAGACAACATTGAAAGAATCGTAGCTACAGTTTCTTATCGCTTGTTAAATATTAAATCTATGCAATATTTTATATGATGGTCTTATGTTAAGGCTTACATCACTTTTACAATATATTTTATTATGATATATATAATCGATTATGTTATAGCTTAGAGAGATTTATTATTTATGTAAAATGCAATCTAACTGGCAAGAAACATTTATTCAGATTTGAAACATTAATATATATGCAGTATGGTCATAAGAAAAATTTCCCCGATATATGAACTCTTATGGATGTTTCTGCTCAACCAGTCAAAATGAAATTTCAAATATTGTTATTTGAAGTTAAATTTCTCTGAATTTGACTTTATTTTCAGATATTGTTATTTGAAGTTTTATGCCGGCGTTTATTCAAAATTTCTGGCGTAAAACATTTGAAAAAAAGAGCATTGTAAAGGACCAATGACAACACACGAGAGAAGGGGGAAAATTTTTTTTATTGGAATTACAAGTTTTCAGTGTGTACAGCGTTTTAAAATAGAATCACCTCCCGTAAGTTTGCAGTTTTGTGGTCACCGCGATCCTCCCTACCTCACTCCGATGGATTTCTTGTTCCGAGATTATCTGAAATATAAGGTGCATAGAACAGATTTGTCATAATTGAAAGATGCCATAAAATATGAAGTTATACAAGTTCCTTCTGCAATGTTACCTTCGTCGTTGTTGTCAACAATCTCCCGCGTGTAATACGTTATTCTTTGAATAAAAGTTTATTTCCCTCTCCTCTCTTATATTGTCACAGGTCTTTTACAATGCTGTTCTTTGCAAATGCTTTAAGCCGGCAATTTTCGTCTTACGTGTATCGTTACAACGCCATTTATGATTTTTCATTGCGCCGATCAATTTAAACAGAAAAAACATGAGTGCTTTTATTCGAAAATATCGAATTTTTTTATTTTAACCGTAATCGCGAGAACTATATTGTTTTAAATTATATCGAGCGCATACCTTCAAATAACAACAGCTGAAATTACATTTCGATTGGCTGAATGGAAGCGGCTAGGGGTTCATATATCATGGAAGTTTTTTTTTTTTTTTTTTTAATGACCACCTTGTATTTCGTGTTTATTGTTTAAAGGCCTAACAGTCACTGAATCAATTTATATAATATATAGTAAATGTTTTCATTATTATCTTGCTTCCAGTAAAATCAATTATTCATCTTTCATAAAAAATAATTCTTTTCTGTCACTTTTTGAAAAGTAATTCCAAGTTCTCAATTCATAATACCTGTAATTAAAATTCTTGCAATATAAAAAGATTTTTATCTTTTATCCTCTTCATTTAATAGATCTACAGTACTTCAGTTAGTCAAAAAGTTTTTAATGTAAAGCATTTTGTTAGTTTTCGTAAATATCTTATCAAAATGGCTTCTATATCGGCTGTGATATAAAAGTCATTTTGGATTACTCTTTTTCAGGGTATGGAAAATATTTTATTCATTTAAATTAAAATAATAACACTGCTTTCATTTGAAAATCAATTAAAATATTCTTATGTTATTCAATAATAAATATAGCGTTATAATTTAAACTCGGAAAAAGTCTGTACAGTAATGCAGTTTTTAAAATAAACTGCTGAAGAAATGCGCTGAAATATCAACAGTAACCCAGATTTTTGTATAACGATCGAATTAACCAATTTTATTTTTAAATAAAAAGAATCTGTGTAAGAGATTTACAGATCTAATAACCAATTAAGATACCTAATTTGAAATTTTATTTAAACCCTTGCGAATCTCTGCCAAAAGTCTTCATCGTTTATTAAGCATATTACAGATTTCAATAGCTAAATTTTGATTCTGCATGTTCTGTAAGAAATCTAACTATCTAAAAATGTTTTTAAATGCATATGTGGCCTATATTTTCTGTTTTAAAAATGATCGCTTCATTAAATAATCATTTATTCCAATTGCTTCAGGATATAGCCCAATCTTGAATCCATTATTGTTTTAAGAAAAATTTTTAAAAATAGTTACGTTTTTAAATCTCTTAGCAATATGAATAAAAAAAATTATTAAAAATAAGTTCTTTATAAATTAATTTGCGCCAAAGCACTGCATACCCTTTTTCCTTTGCAGATTTGACTTAAACGACGAATAAAATGCATAAGAAATATATATTTTTCTGTGAATTTCTCAAAAATATTTTCGAAAACTCCTTATTGCTTTAGAGTTACATGTTATATAGAGTTACATCTTATAATACTTCCTTATTTTTTTAATTTAAATCAATCTTAGTTGCCAGTTAAATTCTATAGATTAAATTAAATTGGTAAAAAATACAAAAAGCTTGAAAATAACCGTGCGTGCAAATTTACAGAACTTCATTCAGAATTCTGAATGATAAACATAATAAAATGATTTTAGTTTTTAAAATGTAGACTACAGTTAGTTCGCTCAAATTGAAATTGTTTCTTGCAGTGAGGCTCTCAAAATAAACGTTTGAAATTAGAGTATTAAGCTAATATGAGTTAACTGTATATTTAAATTTACAATTTTAACTCCCTGAAGGTTAATTTTCGAAAATATTTTTCTTCTTATTATAAATTACCTTGTACAACAGCTACATTTTAGATTCTGTGGTTGACTTTTCTGTTATTTATTTAGCATTAGTTATAATTTTTTTATCTATTCCAAAGAAATGCAGATTTGAAATATACCTTATTCATATGTAAATTACAAAATATACATAACATACAACCTCCCGGAAACCATAATTAGTGTCATTGCAGTAAAAATATGATTATGTCTAAAATCACCTTCAAGATCACACATGTATATTTAAATCACAAATTTCAGGCTTGATTCCATCTTATTCGGCATATTTTCAAAGTCTTTGTTATCTCCAAAATACTTTTATGGAAATAAAGTTTATTTATGATTCTCAGATATGTTAAAAGATGTTTGAAATTAGAAAAATTCCCCTTAAACTGGTAAAAATACAACTTTAAAGGTTATTGTTATGGAGAATAATTATATACCAACATATACTTCCAGAATTAAAAGCTTTGATAGGAATTCTTACGAAAATTACAAGTTTGATTGTACATCGGGTTATGCTTATGAATTCCCTACCGTTACGCCACTGTCGTGTGAAAGTGTGTGTGCTTGTCAGTTATACAGCGTGGTCGTTGCAGACTGGCTTCGGTGCAGGAGCAGAGACACACCGTAGGACATCATCTGCCAGAAAAGTCACATTCGGCCGACGGACCCCACTCTGACGGAGAAATGCATTCCACAAAAGTTAGTATCCACCAACCTAAGATTCTCAGTTCTTTCTCTGTCTTTCTTTCTACTTTTTTCATTCATTCTTTTAAATTGCATAAACGTGAGGTTTCACAAAGTTTGGATCTTTACTTGCACTTTTTGTCATTTATCTGATAACTTGATTGTAGTTTATTTAATAACTAATATTCGATGTTATGTGAATTATTTTAGCGTTAGCATTAGCATACGACGTCATTCCAACTAAGAAATGCTATTATTAACATTTTTGAAAGATCATCATGAAAGATTTGACTAATCATTTACTTGAATTTTGGGTTAACAATCATTTTATTATTAAGAATTAACGCTTGAAATATGTTTAAATCCTCAGAATAAACTTCAACGATATTACAAATGCTATATTTAAAATGCACAAAGTTGTTCTACTGCAATCCAAAATTTTATTATTAACAGAAATTTTATAACTTTTATTACAGCTTTCAAAAATTCTCCCAAAACAGCAGTCTCTTCGAAATATATTACAGTTATTCAGTAAATCTACCCTCTGAAGAAAATTCTAACAGTTAAGCCATCTTCATTTCAAATCCCTTTAATTTTAATAAATGTTCCATAAGAAATAAAGGTTTTGTAAAAATCTTTTTATACTCAGCATTACTGGCACTTTTTTGTTTCAAACAATTATGTTTTATAAGTATTCTGCTGACATAACTGGATATTTGAATTATCCGTTTGACTCAAAATGGCAATTTTTTGTAATTCTTTGCATGATATTAACTACATATTTTTTATAACAGCTTTTTTAATGTTTTAAACTTTTCAATTTTTAAAGTAGGGACTTTAAATTAATTTATGTGACAATCTTCAAAACGATTAAATTGTTGAAGTATAGATTTTTCAAAATCAAATTCTATTTCGATTAATGAACACGCATTAATTTTTTAAGATAAATTTCATCTTTTCAGAATAATATTGTTACTAAGCCTTGAAATATTTCTCACTGTTGCAAGCGAGATGTACAAAATACGATTAGTATTTTTTTGTTTCCTTTTTTTAAATATTAAAATTTCTGTACCATATATTTCGTTTTTCAAGCAACTCTATAAACTTATTATAATTTTTTTAATAATTTTTAAACTTATTTAAAACTTACTAAATTTAATGTATTTTAAACTTATTAAACTTTTAAACAGATTTTTAAATTCTGAAAAGTTATCAAATTTAATTTTGAAGGTAACTTTTAAAGGTTCTATGGATATAATTCTACGAATTTCTGAACGCAAAAATATGTAACTTTTAGGAGAATTTGATTTTTTTTTTTTTTAAATTATGTGCATTACTGAATCAATTAACACCTTCTTCTTCAATCAATCAATTCCCACTTTAAAAGGGATTACGTAGCTTTCTGATGTAAGAAATGTTTTATAATAATTTTTTTAAGAACTTTTTTTGAAATATTTAGGTAAAAAATCGCATATGACAAAATAACTAGTTGTTCTTTTAAACTTACATTCCAAAGTAGTTTCAAATATCAACTTGGCAGTTTCACCCTTCCTTATTAGTATTAATTATTCACAGCATATGAACTACGTACCTCTGATACGGAAGACAGACACACCAGGCGAAGAACCTCCATCCCAGGTCCTCATTATACGGGATCCATTCAGAGTTTGAAATATCCAACGCCTGTGGGACCTCGTTCTCGCAGGCGCAACCCCCGCAGTCCCCGCCCGGCTTTTACGAAGCATTGGGCAGAACGATACGTTGCTAGTTTAATACGCTGTCACCTTGCCTCCGGGCACCACTCCATCGGCAAAACCACATTGTAGAAAGGTGCTTTGTCAGCCCCCGCCACGAGAACTGAATGGGGTCAAACCCCGAGAACTCAGTCGACAAATGTACCATGTAGCTCCACCACAGCCGAAGGAACAGACACGACAGTACCAGTACGGTCCCTGCCAAGCCTGAACCAACCTGAGTACAATACTCGGGCTCTAGTCCTGTGAAGTCAAATTATATACCCCCGTGTTTGAGAATGCCTAGGTACAGATCCTAACCAGTACTTCCCAGGCATTCGCCTGAGTCAACCCCCGGGGGGGATACGGAAGACAGAAAAGGATCATGCAGCCTTTCAGACCGATATCGTCTAACCGATTCTTACCTGTCACGTAACTATAAAACTATTAAGCCATATTCGCATTTCGTTATTACTCCTTTTTATTTAGTTAGTTATTTATACATACCTTTGCCTTTTCATGAGTGGCTGAACTTACATGAGGTAGAAATGCTAAAGATGAAAAGTGCAGAACAGATAATTGAACATAAAATTAAACATACCTCACATACATAATTAATTTTTGAATCAAACATTTTATCTTCAGTCGAACTTTATTCTTGATTTTCTGCTAATGGCACAGTACGATTAATTTAAGCCTTACGGAGCTGGAAACATGAGAAATCAACTGTACTCTTGTCAGGATTCGGACAAGACCAAATCCAAGTGACGATTTACAGCATTTTTAATTCAGGTGCCTTCATCTAGAACCACTTACACTCCGATAGCACGTTTTAGGTAATGCGATATTTCCTTATAGCAAATCATCACCGAATATTCAGCTCAATACTTTTCGTAAATATTTGCTTTCAATTTATACAGTGTTCGTAAAGAAAGTTTGAGAATGCATAAATGAATGAATAATTTCAAACCACTGAACTTGTTTTGCTAATTGCAAACACTTCTGGATATTGAAGTATCCTGACTGTAATTTCTTTTCATTCAGAAAACTTCCAGAAAAGCTAGTGTATTTATTTCAACCAATGCAGGAAATATTTTAGAACCTAGCGTATGAAATATTTTTATTTAAATATAATAGTTGAGTAAGTATAGTAGGGTTGAATTCTTTCCATTTTCCTGACCTTTATTTTTCCGTTATATAAAAATCATCAACAATCATATATCTATTTAAGATTTTTTTAATTCTTGAAATTAATCTCTAAGCCCTTATTTCATTTCTGTTGTGTCCCTCTTTTTCCGTAATAAATCATTTTTATAGCAAATGTTTGATCGATCGTTTTTAATACAGTTATTTAAATATATATACATACTTACACACACCATCGCACACATAAATATATATACAAGGTGAGACACAAGAAAATGAGACTGTGTAGCTTGAAAAAAGAGTTGGCAACAACTGCTTTGGTGACTTCATCCCACATGTCTCTGTCCATGCGGCCAGTTTTGACTTAACCGATCACATCAAGTGGGGGTACTGCGTCATTGAATGAGCATGTGCAACTGCGTTCTGCCGGAAAAAAATGTCTAATGTAAAAACCGAACAGCGAATCAACATCACGTTTCTTGTGAAACTTAAGAAATTATCTACGGAAACATTTCAAATGTTAACTGAGGCTTATGGAGCTGAAACTTTGTCTTGTGCAGGTTGTTTGAACGGCATAAGCGGTTTTCAGGATTTAGGGACAAAGCACGCATATCAAAATCAAAATTCAAGACAATGTTAACTGTCTTCTTCGACATTAATGGAATTGTAATGATTGATTGGGTTCTCATTGGTCAGATTGTTAATCAACACTACTACACTGAAGTACTAAAAAGACTTCGTGAAAAAATTAGGGGGAAAAAGCCACAGTTGTGGAGTGATGGATGGACCAGGACAAAGCACCCGCTCACATGGCCCTATCTATCAAGCAGTTTCTGACCAGCAAAAACATTACTGTGATGGGGCATCCTCCTTATTCACCTGTTTTGGCTCCATGCGACTTTTTTTTATTTCCTAAAGTTAAATCTTGTTTGAAGGGAAGCCATTTTACCTCAGTTGAAGAGATTCAGGTAAAAAAGGAGAATCTCCTGAAGAGCCTTCCAAAAACCTCGTTCCAGAACTATTACCAGCAATGGCAATACCGAATGCAGAAGTGTGTGAATGTTGAAGGGAACTACTTTGAAGATGATAATGTCACGGAGAACTGATTCTGTAAGTACAATAATTTATTGGACCGGACTCGTTTTTTTTTTTTTTTTTTTTTTTTTTTTTTTTTGTGCCACACCTCGTATATATATCTAGCTAAATGATTTTGATAAAAAATCGAAAATAAATGTTATAAAAGTTTTGCCTTCAGCCACATACTTACACGTAAGACAATGCTCATCATATTTTTAACAGCTTAATTTTTTTATTATTTTACATGTTATTGACACATAACTATTTAAAAACAATGCGATTGCTTTGTGAATCGATGGATTTTCTTTTTGGTTTTACATTTGAAATAGATGTAAAAAAGCATACTTTCTTTGGAGAGAAGCCAATGGGTTTTCCTTCTACCATGAATCATACGAATTACCTCTTTATTGTGATTAATTTAATTTCTATATGCAAAATAATTCATTTTTTATAGTAAAAAGTTTTTCCTGTATTATAAATATTTATTTATTACTTAGAAATATTTTCACATAATCTTTCAAGTATAGAATAAAAATGCTTCTCTTCGGGAAAAGAAAAAGCATGGCCTTCAGCTCGAAACACGTATACACGTGCCCTTTTTAAAGCAGACAATTAATTACACTAAAACATGTTTTATTTTTTTAATTAAAAGTTGTTTCCAGCTTTTCTTTCGGAACAGATTAGTTCTCTTTATATCTTTCATCAGAATCGCTTTAAATATGTATAACCGCCAATGTATATACATAAAATGTAACAAATGTATGCGTTAAATTTAAATTTCAATTTTTCTTCATTCCTTCATTAATATGCATTTTTGGTGTTAAGTTGTTCTGAAAAAAAGCGAATAATTGCAATTTGCTTGAAACCGACAATATGTACTTAATTATAAAATAATAATGAACTTTAAAAAAATATTTCTGTATGTAATGTTTTGTGAAATGCAATTAACAGGAATAAATGTTTTTTATATTAATCAGAAAATTTTAGAGTAAATTCTCAGAATTTCAAAAAAAAAATTCTAAAACATTTAGAGTATAATCATTTCCCGTGCATGTTAAT